AAAAAAAAAAAAAAAAAGAGTGATGCTCCCTAGAGAGCTGGGGACTCCTTGGTTATTTTCCCAGATTGAGAACTCAGCTTTATTTTGCAATAAATGCTTCTAGGACATATCCAGCTGGAACTTCTATTGCTCCCTTTGGAAACCTTAAGATCAGAAAGGGGATAAGAAACCCTGCTTCTCTCTCCCAATAATCAACCAGGATAAAGGGAAAACTAGAAATATCCAACTCCCTTGATTTGGCAGATAATAAAAAATTGAGACCCAGACACTGGTCAACAGGAAAACAATACAGACTCCCACAGTTAGAAAACGTTATTTTAATGGGGAGTAAGGAAGCCCTTTGAACTTGAGCCATATTCAAAGTGTGTTTGCTCTCTTAACTTGGGCATCCTGGGGTGTCTGTACACCAAGGGCAAGAGACAAGGGGAGTTGTGGATTCTGCCTACCTGCATTTGCACTTCTACATCTTCCGGTGGCAATCTTTGGAGGAGGGGTAGTTTCCCATAAAGAGAGCCCCAGGAGCTTACCCACTAGTTTTCTAAATCTGAGTATCTCAGCCTTGGGAATCTCTGCTGTCTGCACAGACCTTACACCATGCTGGGAGGAGATATTTTGAATATGTTGAGTAAAAAGTAAAAATGATCACCAGGAACGGGAAAACACCCCTAGCTTATTGTTTTAAATTAGAAAACAATTTAAGTGTTCAAAGTATGATGAGCAAGTAAATCATGAACTTAAAGTAGACTATTAACCACTAAAATATTCTTGAGAAATACTTAGTAACAGGGAAAACATGCATGATAGAAGAGAACAACGCTGATTACAAAATGGCATGTTCAGAATGAATCCGATTTTGTTGTTAAAAATGTGAAAACATTTGCCATTATGTGATACCAAAATAGAATGATTTGCTTTCCTTTTGTGTTTTTCTATATTTTTACATTTGCCTAACAATAAACATTTTTTGTCATCAGAAAGAATTAATGTGTTATTTGTTCTAATGCCAAAAAGGAATAACCAACTTCGTTTTTTAGTGAAAAGGAAGGTGAAATGTTCATTAAGGAAGTTGGCATCTCAAGAGAAACATTTAAAACTACTGCAGATGTCAGAGAACAGATATAAGGACAAATACATAAAAGTGAAGCATATGTCAAGAAAATGACAGATTTCCTCTCTGTCCCTCCTTCAATGGAAAGTTAAAAAACAGGCTCCAGTAGAGACAGAAAAAGAAAACGTGTGTGGTGTGTGCCTGCTTGGTGGTCGTGGAAGGGGGAATGGAAATAGGCAACCAAAAGAAGATTATTTCCCTGGGGTTCAGAAAAAGCAAAAATAAAATTATCTAGCACAGAGGTGAAACCACCCATAAATACAGATGTCAAAGCACCCATCCTGAAGCCTGAGCTGTGACATTGTGCTAGAGAAATGAACACACTAGATTTCCTCCCTGCATTCCTAACTGACTCTCCATCCAAATAACCCAGGCACCTGATGCTTTGACTTTTTCCCCAGGACCTTACTGATGTATCCCAATAATCTTAGGAGGGATTTTCAGAAGCAAAACCATCCTTGCTGCCCTGTTCAAAAGGTCATTCAGGAGAACAAGCTTTGTGTTTACTGTAGGATTATATCAGAGGTTTTCACCAAGAAATCTCAGGGCAACGGGAATCCCCTGAAGTTTGTCTGCTTCCCCAGAAAACTCAGTCTCCTGGTCTTGTCTCCTTTGAAGCCTCTCCCACCCTCATCCATCTTACCTTCAGAGCAATCAATCACACCAACCAATCTTCCCACATGGACCCTGAGCCAGAAACTACAGGAATTTGGATTTTTCTACATCCATCACCTTCCTGTCAAGGATTCATTCCAAGGCAAAACAGCCTCATTCAGATTCATTAGTTACAACCCTACACTCCTTCCCTTTTGGTTCATCCTTAACAAGCTGGCTATCATTAAGGTGACAGAACAGTAAAACCCCCAGGTTCCATAGATTCAGAGCCCAAGACAGGCAGATTGGCCACAATCTGATGATGGATCTTGCAAATCTGCTGAAAAAGTGATCAACTCCGTGAGGGAAACCTGTTCATGAGCCTATTCCCCTAGCTCAGTAAATTCAAGCACAGCATCACTTCAGCTGGACAATGGAATTCTGTAGTTGCTCAGTCTAGATTAAAAGGAAAATATGCCTTTGGGAGGCCAAGTCGGGAGAATCACTTAAGAAGGCCAGGAAGTGGCTGGGCGCGGTGGCTCATGCCTGTAATCCTAGCACTTTGGGAGGCCGAGGTGGGTGGATCACCTGAGATCAGGAGTTCAAGACCAGCCTGGCCATCATGGTGAAACCCCATCTT